GCAGCTGCTGCTGCTGCTGCTGCAGACCCGCTGGAGACGCACACCACCACCAGCACCGAAACCTGCAGCAGCACCACCTGCAGCAGCACCCGCAGCACCAGCGGCAGCAGCAGCAGCAGCAAGAACAGCAGCGGCTACGGGCCTGCTCCCGAGTCCTGTGCAGCCTTCGCGGGCAGCAGCGAGGCGCCCGAGGAATCTCCAGCAGCAGCAGCTGCTGCTGCTGCAGCACAGGCAAAGAGCGCTCCAGGCAGCACAAGTGATTGCGATTCAGGTGTACGTACAGCAGCAGAGCTGAGGTCCTGTGTCCTTTGCCTCTCCGCCTCCAGCTTCGCCAGTGGAAACTTCTTTTGCTCTTCTTGCCTGAGGCGGCTGCAGGCCAACAAGAATCTGCAAAATACAGGCAAAAAGAGCAGCAGCAGCAGCAGCAGCAGCAGCAGCAGCGGCAGCAAACGTGAACTGCCCGCGGCACTCGCGGCCCCTCCCGCCGCCAAGCTGCGGAAGTCGGGAAAAGGGAATCCGGAATTAGTTGAAGTCCAAATCGAAATAAGTGAAAAAGAAAACAACAGATTAGAAAAGGAGAAAAAAGAAATGCTGCCGCGGCGAAGATTCAAGCGGTCAGCATCACCTACGCTGGCAGCGCAGCAGCAGCAGCAGCAGCAGCAGCAAGAGTCGGCGCAGCAGAACTGCAAAGTTGCTGCGCTCGCCTGCGGGGAGCGCAGGGAACGCATTGGGTGGCGGGCACGGTCTGCTGCTGCTGCTGCTGCTGCTGCTGAGGGCAGCAGCTGGTGGAGCAGCGCAGAAGCAGCAGGAGAAGCACCAGTGGTGCCCCCGCTGCTGCTGCCGCTGCTGCCCTCCATCTTCTGTTTGCATGCGCGGCCGTGGCCGCCGCCTCCCGCCAAAAGGCAAAGACTGCCTTCTCCGAGGCGAAGGGGCCTCGACTGTTTTGCTGCTGCTGCTGTTGCTGCTCAAAGGGCCCCCTGGGCTGCAGCAGCAGCAGCCAGGGGCGCCGCCGTCGGCAGCCACGGCGGCAGAGCTGAAGACAAAGACCCAGCGAGAGCAGCAGCAGCAGCAGCAGCAGCAGAGGCACAACGAACGCGACGCTTCGGACGCGCGCTGAAGGCCGCCCCGGCGCCGCTGTCTGAGGCTGCTGCTCCTGCTGCTGCTGCTGCTGCAGCAGGTGAAGGTGCAGCAGCACAGGGAGCTGCAGCTGCGGAGCTGATGACGGAAAGGGGCTGCGAGGGACAAGGAAAAGCCAGCAGCAGCTCTGCCTCTCCGCCTCACCGCCTGAGTCCTTACTGGAGCTACCTTTGTAAAGACAAGGCAGCAGCAGCACCAGCGCCGTCGTCCGCGTCGGCAGCAGCAGCAGCAGCAGAAGCAACCAGCCTGGCAAAGGGATGCTGCTGCTGCGCAGCTGCGGGCTCCTCGCGAGAGCCCGCCTTTGACGTGCTGCCTCCCAAGCGAAGGCATAGGCGAAGTGAGCCTGCAGTGAGCAGCAGCGGTGCTGCTGCTGCTGCTAGCGAGGCAGTTGCTGCTGCTGCTGTGAGGGACATTGCAGCAGCTGCTGCTGCTGCCACCTTGGCGGGGCAGCGCAGGCTTGAGCAGCAGACACCTCCCTCGAGGCTGCGCAGAAGGTCCTGGAGCCCCGAAGGTGGCCGCGCTGCTCGAGTGGTGGCAGCAGCAGCCGCAGCGGGAGCAGCAGAAGCAGCAGCAGCGGCGGGAGGAGCGGAGGAAAAGCATTCGATTTCTCGAGCGGGCTGCAGCGCGTGCAGCGCATCGGCAGCAGCAGGAGCCGCTGCAGCGTCTGCTGCAGCGAGAACGCCAGAGAGTCCAAAGGAGGCGCCTCCAGCAGCAGCAAGCACAGCAGCCACAAGTGAAGGAGCAGCAGCCGCCAGGCCCGCGAGCAGCGCAGCAGCAGCATCTTCTGCAAAGAAGCCTTTGGCGGCTGGCAGTGCCGCTGCAGCTGCGGGTCCCAGCAGCTCCGCTGCTGCAGCGGGCGCTGCAACATCAGGAGCACCAGCCGGCGGCGCACTGGCTGCTGCAGCAGGCGCCGCAGCAGGCGCTGCAGCAGGCGCCGCAGCAGGCGCCGCGCGGCCCTTGGGACTGGCGCGGATCTCGCAGGGGCTGCTGGTGGGCTGCTCGTCGCTGGGGCGGGGCTCCGGGCTGGGGATTTACAGCTGCCGGGGCTTCAGCCGCAGGCAGCAAATTTGCGAGTACAGCGGAGTGCTGATAGACCGGCGGACGGCGCTGCTTCTGCGGCAAATGGAGTGCGCGTCGCACGTCGTGAACGTGCAGATGCAGCACCTGTACCTGCTGGGCTTCCACACGCCGTGCCCGCTGCTGGGGGGCGGCGCCTTCATCAACGACGGCCGCTGGGACACGGCGGGGGGGGAGGGGCCTGGGGTTTGCGTGCGTTTCCGCGTCATGTTCGACCGGCACAGGGCCTCGCAGCGGGTGGTCGTGGTGGCGGTCAAGGACATCCCGCGCGGCGCGGAGCTGCTCACTTCTTACGACAACGACTACTGGAGGCTCAAGAACAGGGGCCTGCCCAGGCCCTGAGGCTCCCCGGGCCCCGCGAGCTCGCGCCTGCGCCCCGGCCCGCGCCGCGTGCCTTTCCGGAGGCTTCCGCGTTCGGCGCCGCGCCGGCGGCAGGCCTTTCGGCTTTTCCGGCTGCATGCGCTTGCCGACTGGCCTTCGGCTGGGGTTTGGCGCTTTCGCCGCGCGCGCTTCGCCGCCCTTGTTTGCAAACGCGCGGGGCGCTTCCTCAGGCGCACGCGGGCCTCAGCTGGCGGCGCTCGGGTCTGCGCGGACGCGCACGGCTTTCCGTGCTTCTGTGCAAATGGGGGGCCACCCCGGAGCCCTCGCGGCCGCAATTCACCTTTTTGCAACTTGCATGCGTGCGGACTTTTCTCCGTTCCCGCGCGCCCGTGCCCTCTGCAGCCATTCATCTGCCTCCCGGCGCCCAGGCGTGCGGATCCGTTCCCGCATGCACGCGAGAACTACGCGCGCAGCTGAAGACCTGCATACACATGAACGTGCACATTTTCGCGGTTGTTTCTGCGACTGAACACGCAAGTTTGCGCATGCGTACACAATACCTTGCGGGCAGCTATGCCTAGGCGTGATTCCCTGCCTAGCGTGAGCTGCCTTTCTTTGCAGATGTATATAGCCTTTGTGTATGTGAAATGCGCCTTCTATGCGCTCATACATATATGCGCATATATGCATGCTTCGGGTGGGACTGTGCCTGTCGAGCAGACAGAGCGCTGAACATGTGGGAGATATGTGTTGAGGAGTAACTACGCCTCAGCCTTTAGACAGAATTAATTGCTTCTTGCGGTTTCTTTTCGCTTTGCTTTAGATCCATTCGGAAATCGAGCATTTTCCGGGCCCCGTCCCATTCTGCTGAAGCCTATATATTTGTACACCGAGGCAGGCAGAAAAGGGAGCAGGGGGAAAGTGACGGAGGAGCCCAGCAGGTTAGGATAAGGGCTAGAAAAGGGGGAGCAACTGAGGTGGAAACACTTAGGCCAAGCATAGAAAAGTATAAGAAGTGGAACAGAGCAGACCGCAACAGAAAAGTAATAGGCAAACCGAGAGAACCTCACAAGGGCAGGCTGCACCAACAGCCGCTAGAGGTACAAGCTACACGTGGCGGCACTCAACAGCAAAGACATTCACAATGAAAGTATAATTTCAATGCTTCGAGTTGGAAAGCAAGCACGCGTAGTCAGGGACTGCAGGCTTCTACCCAACCCAAATGGCCAGGGAAAGCAGATGGAAGGCAGCCTTCTGCTCGGTCTTGGAATTATTATAACGTAAAAGCTATGCGCTTTGGTCTCAAGGGTGTCCCAGACAAGCTAGCAAAAATCCGTATGTCTAACCTCTAATTTGACGGGCCTTCGTTACCTGTCCTGACAACGTGGTGAAACTTAACCACCAGGCAACGCACACTTGGCTTCTGCGATAAGATATCGGCATCATTCTAGAGCATCACTTTTACTTTAAGCTCAGGAAGCGCAAGCTTGCACAGCAAGAGCTTACTTACCTTACTTATGCCGTCAACGATTATGGCACAAAGCCCGCAGCCAACAACATGCAGGCTGCTTACGCATGTCAGAGATGTTCATTATCCAGGCACAAATAAGCACAGCTACTCCTACATAGCTCCCGTCTTTCAGGTTAGCCCGTAGCCTACTGCATTTTCTTACTCTATTGCGCCCTGCGCCTCTCTTCCTGCATTCATAGGTTCACTAACCCGCTTTCTGCTTAATATTCAGCACTACGTTTGATAAATTAGTCAGAAGGTTCTTTCAGTCCTGGCTCACCAGTTTGCCTGCGGCCACACTCTTTAAACTGCAACGCGCGGAAAGGTGAGAAGAAAGAGTGTAACTGTGCTGGTTCAGGCTCACACATTCACCCATAGCTTGCAATGCCTTTGAACCGCGCCATGTTCACAAAGAGGACACAGATTCTGTGAATGGGGAGCTGGCAACATTCTTGTTTGCACTAAGGGAAGAACCCTGGCTAACTACTGAAGACACGGCTGCGTGTTATGTTGAAACCTCCTTCCAATTCGGTTTCATCATGCTGGACGTTATTGCTTTCCACAAAACACCGAAAATCAGTGTTTATTTTCGTTTGAACTGTGTTACCATCCTTCCGGGCTAACCTTGACATCAAAGATAGGTGACTTATAGTCTAATGCTATCATCGAATCTGTATCCTTCATCAGTCACATATTTCCACCACCCTGTATGAAATGCCACCTTTCTGCAGGCGCAGTAGTATGCCTGGCACAACTCTTTCAAGTTAATTTGACAAGAGTGCAGATAGTGTTGCTCAAGTAACAAGTAAGGCTTCAAAATGTTCCCAAGTGTGCCCCAACTTGAAAAATGCAGGCGCCAAGTCGGAATTTATGCACTGTCATACAGCCGGGTATCCAATATAGATTTATTGGGTGCTTCAGGATTACAGTGAGTGCTAAGCTAAGGGCAAAGCAATTTAGTTTGGAGAGCCAAGTGCTCCAGCAGCACAGAAAATAGAGCTGTGCGCTCCCCATGCCTGAAGCACCAATCTGCACAACGTCTCTGCTCGCTCAAACGTTGCTCCCAGACCCACAAAAACTGCAATCGACTCCCAGATACATTCCTTAAAAAGCCTAATGCGACTTAGTTCAGCCTAGTGCACTCCACTGTATCAATTAGCGTGGTTCACCGAGTTTCCGGCCGCGAGTGCTCCTTTGGTGAGTGTCGATTCTTGGTGCTGGCGCCATAGCTCCAGTAGTTGAAGAATGTAGCACTGGACTGCGTAGCAATATACTTGCCTTTTTAGACGACAATACTTTGTACTTGCGTTTCTTAGCCTGTGTACCTTGTCGTGACTGTGCAGTAAGCGCTGCGTGTTCGCAACTTATCTCTGTTTCCACTAACTCTCCTTCCCGTGTGCGAGAAAAAACAAACAAATTCAAGTACCTGTTAAGGTACAGTCAGAAAGTCTTTCAACACGGGCAAATGAGAGATGGTCTACTGTGCGGCTCCATGCATCTCAAGTCGCAGAGGCCCTGACCATTCTGCTCGTGAACAACCGCGCTGCGCCGCAAAAGAAGAGTAAAATATTACCAAGAAAAGCATACTTGTCGAAAGTTGCCGCTGCGAATAGTTTAGGCTGCTGCCTTTTGTGGAGGTAGCAACGCCTTCAGTTCAGTAGGTATAGGCTAAATCGATCCCAATAAAAAATTAAACAACATCCGTGGAGCCTGAGTGATGACTAGGGCGGAAGTAAGCGCCGCCTCTTCTGGCGTTTCCTGATAACCAGGGAAGCCAGGAGGGAAACAGCAAGGGCTCGAGAAGGTGGAGAAGATATAGAGCAGCGTGACTCCGCTTTGCCTGCCTTCTGTGGCGCTCTTGCCTTACACTTTGTCTCACATCTTGCAACTCCTGGTCTGCTGGCTCTGCTTACTGCTGGTAATCATCACCCCTCTGCAGCGCCACTTCCCAGAACCACTCCAGGAAAGTTGCGACTTCTGTGATCCGCCTTGGCAGCTTGCTTTTCTCGTAAGCTCTGCAGCCTTTGGCGATGTGGGAGGGCACAGATTTGGAGCCTCTGGCAATAGGCATGATGCTGGAGATCTTCATGGGAATCTGGATCTTCCACCAGCGTCTTCCGTTTTCGCTTGCTTTGAAGTCGATAATGAAGGCTTTAATGTTTTTGGCGTGTTGCGCCACAATGGAGATGATCTCATTCGAACAGAACTCTCTGTTGCGCAGCAGCAGCAGGTCCCGCATCAACTCCTCAGCTTCCTGCTCCTCCCCAGGGGTCAGTTTTCTGGTGCGCAGTGTGGCTTCCAGCTTGTCTCTCTGCGCCATGAGGACGTCCTGGAGTCTTTCCCTTTCCAGAACTTCCGCTTTGGCTTTTTCAACACAAGAGTCCCCGTCCTTCTCCACCAGGTTCATGAGGTGTCCCATTTGGGCGAGTGCGCTGAGGGGGTCGCGGGCGACGCTCATGGGGCTCTCGAGGATTGTTTCGAAGAGCTCGCGCTCTTCTCTTGTCATTCTTTTCATAACTTGCTGAACTCGAGCCAGCCAGCAAGCCTTGTCTGTTTCCCTTCCAGCGCGGGCGACGCGGTCTTCGGCGCGGGCGAGGGCCAGCGCGAGCCTCAGCTTGACGGCGCTGAAGCTGGTGTCCCTGCGGCTCAGCTTCTTCGCACCCACCAGAACTTCTGCCAAGTTTCCCGCCAATATGTCTGTGTCTCTGAGTTTTGAAATGTTGCAAGTGCCTGAAAACCGGCTCCACAGCGCGCACAGCTCGGGCACGCGCCGGCTCGCGTTCAGCACGTATCTGTTCACTCCCATGAGAAACTCCAGACAGTCGTTTGGCACCACTTCAGAAACGGCCTCAGGCTCAGCAGCAGCAGCGCGCTCTTCCGCTTTTCCCACGCCGCTGCCGTACTTGGCGCTGTACTCCTCAGGTGTCAAGGCAGGTAAGAATTCTTCTTCAGAAGAAGAGGCCGAAGTGCTGGCCTCTCCCTCCTCTCCCTCCCCGCTCAGTAGACGCTCTCGGTAGGAGGGCTGCTGTTTCGACTGCCGGCGAATTCGAGGCAGCTTTCGATAGACAGCCCGCGCTGCTCGACGCGCCCCCATCTTCACCTTCGCCGCGCCCCTTTTGATTCCTGTCCAGATTCTCCTCAGCCGGCTGCGAGCTCTTCTGCCCATGTTCCCTACAAACCTGCGCAGCCTTTCCAGGCGGCCTCTGGGCGGCGCCTGCAGTTGCTCTTCCTCGGGTGGGCTGCGGGTCTCATCGTCGGCGCCGGCGCGCTGCACACTCGGCCCTACGGGATTCTCTGGAAAATCTCCTTCTTCACTGATGCTAGTGGGAGGGGGGAAAATCCTTCTTCTCTCTATGAAAGAAGCAGCTGACTGCGGCTGGATGGCCTGAAATTCGGCGCGCTCGGGCGGCGGACTGAAGGACGGCACGCCGAGGTAGTTGGCTCTGTCAAGCTCTCGCGGCCTTGTACTCAAGACAAATGAGTTTGCAAAGCAGAAGAAATATAGCAGCAGGCCGGATGAGGCGCAGGCACCGAAAGCGCGCCGGTTCATTTTCCGGCACTGGGTTGAGGCTGGGCCGTGTGAACGCAAAAAATGGAAAAAAACAAAAGGACTTCGGCCAACTAATATTAGGCAACTCTACTTCAAATGAATTTGGGAAGATTCGGCGCTCAAAAGTAGGTATTTCAAGGCCTTTTTCCCCAGGAGGCAAAGCAGACAGCCAAGAGCTGCGGACCTTAAAATGAGCTGCAGCCGACTGCAGACTCTAGAGAACTAACGGCGACGGCAGCAACTACGAAAATCCAATTCATATTTGTTTAATAAATCTGCTGAAATGCTTCGAAGTGTACTATCTTTGGTCAACCAGGAGGTGCGGGCGCCAACAGACGCAGCCGCCAGAAAGATAGCCTTCTTGCCGCTGGACCGACCTCGAAACAGCGCGAGATGTCTATGTTGTTGTGGAAACAGCTACCTGAGTAGCATCTGCAGTTCTAGAACAAAAAGAACCATTTGCGCTTATGTTACTTTATTTCGAGAGGAAACTGTCGGAAGAGATATTACCATCCGATCGATATTGGTCCGGCAATCGGAGCCGCCGCCCAGCCACCGCGTGACTAGCCTGTGCAGCGCATCGCTCTGATCTTGTTGCAGGTCATGTCTACTCCGCTTCTAATAATATTAAAGCAAAGAGAGCCAATTAACCCACGCATATATGCGATATATGGATTGTGCGCGCCGCTTGGTGCCCCAGTGAGAGAATTTTCCTAGCTGTAGGAGACTCTAGCTAGTGGTCGTGCTAAACGTGATGCTGCAACAAGCCATTTGCACGCGAGACGATACGGTCTTGCCTTTACTAAAGTGCAGCGTCCACAAAAGTACTTCCAGCCAAAAACTAAGCCGCAATTCCGGCAGATATCTCTATTTCACCCTGACTGGCAGTGTAGAGTGCTGCTAAAGCACCCATGAGCTACGCATGCCTGTATTCAGGTTGCTAGAGTCTCAGATACGGCTTTAATCGGCCATAAATTCAGAACAGCAGATAGGTTTGTTTGTAGCCGTTTCTGGACTGGCTCCACAACTTAACTGGGTCAGGCTGACGACTTTTATTCATCTGCTCACGCACAAGGACTTCACGCACGAGGCGCCTTTGTTCCATTCGTTCTAACCATAACTACCTAAGTTTCTTTTTCGAGTGTGTAGTAATAACAAACATCTAGTAGTATAAATACTTCAGCAAAAAGAAGAATCGCCGAGCTCAATTCATCTCTGAACATTGCGGGCGCTGTGCACTGAGAATTCGCACACCTCAAGTGGCTTGGACCCAGCCAGTGAGCAGCTACGTTACGTCGAAACTTAAAAATCACCGAAGACGCTCACGTCTCGACCCACAGTGGCTGGCGCCATTGGAGAAGGCTGCTCTTGCCACGGTATCAGTGTCAGTTTTGACAGTGTGGATCGGCTAAAACAATCTTCTTACGTTACTCGCTGGTGCAAAAAACAAATACGTGCGAACGCGAATGTATAATCGCAAGACATGCACGTAGAAATGCAGGGCATGCCCTTCACGTGTGCCTTTGAAGGCGAGGCTGTCCCGTGGGGAGAGGACCGCAGGCAACAGAGAGAGGGAAGGCCACAGCACAGCATACTTTCTTTGCTTGCCTTCTGTGTTTCTCTTTCACGATGCTTCATCGCACCGCGCAAACGCTCCCCTGTGTCAGCCCTTGTCTACTGCTGATCCTGTTCACTCCTGAGCAGCGCGACTTCCCACATCCACTCCAAGAAATCCGAAACCTGACTGATATTAGTGGGTGGTTTGCTGCTTTCATAGGCTTTGCACCCTTTGGCAACTTGCGGCGGCACCGCCTTGGACCCCCTGGAGGGAGTCATGATCCCCGCGAGCTTAATGGGCCACTGCATTTTCCACCAGCTCTTTCCATGTGCCTTGTAGTCAGCAATGAAGGCTTTGATGCTTACGGAGTGGGCTGTTATCAAATGAAGGATTTCGATCGAACAAAACTCTCTACTAGCCAGTAGCCTCAGGTCCCGCACGGCTTCGTTTCCCTCCTGTTGATCCTGAACACTAAGACGTTGGCTCTGCATCGCCCGCCTGAGACTGTCTTCCTGTGTCCTCAGAGTCTGTTGGAGCTGCTGCCTCGCTTTGATTTCTTCGTGGGCTCTCTCCAAACAGGGGACAACATCTGCCTGGGCCATGTTCATGATACGCATGAGTCCGTCGAAGAATGTGGTGGGGCTGCGGAGGAAGCTCATGTAGTTCTTGCTGGCCTCATTCACCACCATTTCCTCATCCGCATTCAACATGCGCATGATGGCTTCGGGCCTCGTGAGCCAGCAAACATCGTCAGTGTACTTCCCAGCCCGGGCCACGGCGTCCTCAGCCCGAGCCACAGCGAGTGTAAGCCGCAGCTTCGTGGCTGTGAAGCTGTTGTCTGCGGGACTCAGCTTCTTAGCTGCAGTGACTTGTTTCGAAACATCAAGCGCGAGTTCCTGAGTGGTTCGGTACCTCGTCAGATTCGGCACGCGCATGAACAGGCTCCACAGCGCGCAGAGCTCGGGCACGTTATCGTTGATCCACAGCATATTTCGACTCAGCCGCAGGAGAAACATGGGACAGTCCTCCGGCATGCCCTCAGCTGAGACAGCCGCAGTAGCAGCAGGGGCCGCAGCAGCAGGGGCAGCAGCAGCGGCGGCAGCAGCAGCAGCGCCTTGCCCCTCTCCGGCGCGTGCAGACTCGTACCGGAGTTGGTGCTCCTCCGGTGTTAGAGCCTCGAAGAATTCTTCTTCAGACTCCTCACCAGAAGTTGAAGGAGCTCTTGTCCGCGGCTCCTCCGCTCCTTTCTCCTTCAATTGCCGCACTTTCTTAGACAAAGACCGAGAAATCGCCTCCATAGATGGAGTGGTTTCACGCTCAGGGGGCCCCCCAGCTGCTTCTGCTGCAGCAGCTTCAGCTTCAGCAGCAGCAGCGCCTTCTGCCCCTCGGGGCTCTGCAGCAGCAGCCAAACCCAGCCCTGCTAACCCCACGGGGGAGACCAATGCGGGCTGTATTGCTTCAGGAGTTGGTGCTGCTTTTCTGCGTCTTCCGTGGAGTTTTGGTAGTTTTTTGAAGATGGCTTTGGCTGCCCGGCCCGCCCCCGCCTTGACCCTCGCGGCGCCCCTCTTAATTCCTTGCCAGATTTTCCTCATTCTATCTCTAGCCCTTCTTTTCATGTTGCCCAGGGCCAGCCGCAGCCTCTGAAGCCTCCCCTTGAGCTGCTGCTTCTGGGCTTGCTGGGATGAGCTGTTGGTGCCGGCCCGGCTCCAGGTGCCTGAGGCTTGAGTCCCCTGTGGCTCTTCTGGGGACATCCTTGCGTCTTCCTGAAGGTCTAGTGCCGGAGGGGGGCTTTCGAAGGCTTCAGGGGAGCCTTCCTGTCTGTCTGCAAAGGAATATTCGAGCTTTCTATGTATAGCCAAGTGCTGCGGGCGCTGCAGTGATGCGCCCCAGGAGGGCATGGTGAGGAGGCTGGCTCCATAACGCTGTGGTGGCCTTGTACTTGAGACAAATGGAACCTTCAAAAAGGCGAAAAGGCATAACAGCAGGCATGAAGAGACGCCGACAGCTGAAGTCCGCGACCTCATTTTCTTGACAGACTTCCGATGCGCTGCTGACCTAGCCCCTACGAAATGCAGGTAAACCGAGCCCTATCATTCAATAACACCTCCAGTCTATTGAAATTAGCAGGACAAGCTTCTTTATACTATTGTGGAAGCCTTGTAGAAAAGATGTATGTGGCTGACTAGGGGCCGCCGATTGCCATTCAGCGCAGCCGACACGCCAGCTTACAGGTGCCGTTAAGCCGAGCACCTGGCACTATCCGTGCCTAGATGAATGCGACTCGAAAATGAGTGCAAAATACACTAAAAGCAAGCTTCCGAAGATGTGAACAGTGCAGATTTGCCTTCAGGCACAGCTCGCAAGCAGCTGTGCATGAACACTGTGTTGAGGGGCTTCAGAAAGAAGCGAGAGCCTGCCAGCTACGGCGGACACGGCTAGCGAAGTAGTACTCGTGAACAAAAACACGTTGGACATCACTCAAATCTTTGAAACTTTTACATGAGGGAATTTAATTGAATCAAGGGCTCCGAAGCTGTTGTTTCCCTCTAATCATCTTTCGCTGTTCAATGGTCTCTCCGAGCGCCAGTCCGGTGCCTGCAATCGTGGCAACTGTATTGTCTGCAAACACGTAAATTCATCACGTCTACGTTCAGAAGACAAATATTCCAAAACCTAGGACTTTAAAAAAATCGCTAGACTCCCCAAACAATAATGGGATGCTTCTCTTCATCGTAATACCAACTTCGCTCGACCGCAGCTACAGCTTAGCTTCGTCCTCGAGGCGCTCCACTCCCATTTCGCCTCAGTGTTTATCCTAAAACTAGGCATTTTGAGCATTGTTGTGCCCGATGTAGTAGATCTGTGACAATTATAAGCCACCGGTGTGTGGTAGTCTAGAACTATCGAAATCCGAAGCCCGACGTCCCACTAGTGTTGCAGCCTCGCGACTGGTTGATCCCACTGCTGTAAAGACGCGTACCAAGTTTTAGACTTAAGCAACGGTTTCGTATTGGTACAAGTGTACAGGGAGAATGCACAAAGAAGTCCAGATTTTCGAAAAGGTGAATGCAAGATTGCACACGCAAGACCATAGTGCGAAGCAGTGAGCAAAAGGGAGCAGAAAGCGGAAATGAGGGACCAAGAATACGAGCAGAAGTCGTAAGGACTTCTCCTCGACCCAAATCACAACATCTGCGTAGCGTTTTGGCTTTGCGGCATGGAGGCCGGTTGGCCAGCGGCTGGCCGACAACGGGATACAATAGAGCAGCTTTATCTTTTTTCTGCTTCAAGTTTCTCATTTAAATTGCTGCATGTGCCCAAATTCCTGCTTTCAGTCCGTTTTTTGTGCCGTTGATGTCGGTCTGCTCTTGCCGTGCCCAGCCCTCAGCGTAAGGTAGGTGGTGATACCAACCGAAATTGAGACTGCCGCATGCAGGACCAAAGAAAGCCAGCAGGCTGGCGTTATATCTTCCGCCAGAAACCTCTGGGGCGGATTATACAGGCCAAGTCCGTGCCTGCGATCGCACAGTTACCACCAATGGGCAAAGGGGGACAAAAATAGCCGGTCGCAGCCTAACAAACAACTAAGGACCTAACTTGGCTTGCAAAAATAGCGATCAGATGCGCATTGGTCAATAAACTTTGCTAAATTGCCGTTTAGAAGCTCCTGGTCCTGAGGAATGGCTAGAAACACGACACAGCAGTTGATTCACTCAGTGTACAGGGCCCGCATGAATACCAATTAATACTAATCCGCCCTTTTCCCGCCTTTGTAGAATGTTCGCCTGTGTTCAACACACAGCTGCCACTTACCGCTGCACGAGGGTCCAGGGGGCGAGCAGAGACGCCAAGAAAACCAAACCCGCACGAGAAGTCATAGGCAAGTGGCGGCGGGTGGACAGAAACATCAGAGCAGTGATGGACAGATAAGATATCTGAGGGCAAAACAAGACAAGAATACGCCTAAAGCCAATTTGAACGCGGCAAATTAAGGCAAGAACGCATATAGAAGTAATTAATGATACGCAGACACAAAAGGTGAGAACGAAATGGCAGTCTATAAACAAACAGATACGTGAGCAAGTGTGTGAAGATGGCAACTACCCGTAAGCACTGCCCATTGCTTGATATGAATACGCAGGAAAAGCCCTATCTTGATGAAAACTTGAGGGTCAAGACTAAAAGTCCCCCTCGTTCTGGGACCACACTAATGCAACATCACTACAGAAAGTCTTACAGGCGAAAGACTCGACTGCATTGCCTGGTAGACACCTTCCCAATGAAACGAGTTGCCTCCGATCGCTTCAAATGAAGAAGAAAAGAGCAAATGAATATTACGCGAATGCTGCTAAGGTCTCACGACAGGGCCAGGCAGATAGAAACAGAGAATAGAAGCACTGACACTTCTTTTCTTGCGTTTGAACAACACTGACACAAAAATGTAACTTTATTACGCACGGAAGGCAAGTGCATGATAAGCTATACGTTGCTTGCTACTTAGCACTATCTAAATCATAAACAAACATAAATTGTGTACACCAGGGTGGCAGACGCGTTGGAGAAATCCATTCCTATGGCTACTTGCTGCAATTAAAAAAAATATCATGTTGCACAATGAATAGAAACCTGATAGCCAGTAGTAGGCTGACCTCTCAAGAGGAGGTGTCCGTTGCTGCACAGGACTTGTCCCAAAGACCAGCCCAAGCCGATGCACAGCAAACGGGTCTCAGAGGAGTAAGCCAAAGCTTTCCTGTGAAAAGAACGTACAAAACTAAAAATGGCACATAGTTGTATGAAATAAACAAACAAACACGGGGCAATAAAGGCAGACAAATGCACAGAAAAATACACATTAATCCAGTCAACGCGCACAAGGGCTGAAGGTCTAACTATTTCTGCAGGTCCTATTGTTGACGTCATTTCTGCAACTGGTCTAGAAACTATTTTCTTGCTAATGCTGACGGGTTTGCTCGTGTTGCGCATGCTCTGGCCGCCTCTTCTAGTGTTGCTGTTGCTGCTGTTTCCCCTGCGGTTGCTGCTGAGCTACTGTACGCCTGTGCTGTTGTAAGCGCGCTGACTTGCTGTTGAGAATATATCTTATGCTTGTCAGCTCCATTACAACAGTCACAAGGTCTATTATGACCTGAAGAATCACACAAGCATAAGACTTCACTACTGCATTAGGACGCCGAAATACGCAAAATGATAGCATTCGCACGGGCAATCAGTGCTACGACAAGACGATTATCCTACACACGAGCACAAGTAGTCGAGTTAAAACAGAGCTCCGGGACACATAATGAAACGAAAAGTCTATCGGTGCGCGTTCAGAAACATACTGAAGCAATTGAACAGTGCATGAATTGGCATGTGGAGGGACTCAAAGATAAGTTCCAGAGAGCAAAAACCTAGAGCTAGTAAAGTTCACACAGTAGACCAAACGACGAGAAGCAGACAAAATTAAAAAGTGCCAGGCCAAGAAAGCAGGCAGACTGACACAAGCACGTGAGGGCAGGGCGGAAGAAATGAAAGCATGCGAAGAAACAAATGAGGAAAGGTAAATGAGAAAAAATTGGCAGCCACAATTAGTGAAACATTGTGATAACAGAAAACGCCGATGGTGTCCGAGGGGCCTCACGCTGCAGAAGAATGAGCTCTCGCACGTCGATGGGAGAAGGGTCGCGACTATCAAACTCTGCGATTCAGCGAACAAAACCCAAGAAAATAAAAACTAAACATATTTTGCTGCTAGATGTGCTGATATGTAAGCAAATCGTGTCCCCCTGACTTCACAGGCGCCCCGTCTTCAACAGGCATTTCAGCAGTCACAGGAGCATCAACGACCAGGAAGTGCTGGTAAGATGCAGCAGAGCAATGAAAAAGGCGAAGGAGTGACAAATAATAAGCAATTGGAGCAAAGAGAGCCATGTTGATCGTCTAAAGTCGAACAGACCTTTCCGAAAAGATTAACGAAGTAAAAGGCAGTGGCGAGGGCCAGCAGCTTCTTTGTGCCCGTTTGGTCCGATCTGAAAGCGCAAGAGAAACAGCCGCAAAGCATTTCTGGAGAAAAGCCACGCTAAGTGCACAAAGAGAAATTTACATGGGGAGGCACAAGAAATGGTGACAAATAGAAGTGCGAAAGATAACTCACTTCAGAAAAAGACATGACAATAGTGAATGGCAGAGGCAAAATGCCGAGGCCTTTTCTATGCATTATAAGTAGTTGAAACTGTGCACCGAAAATAGCGGTGCGAAAAGGTAAATAATACGCAGACAGAAAAAATGAAGTAAAACACTCACAAGTTTGTAGCTTTATAAATGGCCGCTATCGGGCCAAAACAGAACGCGGCACAGGCTGCCCCGTGTAGAACTGTCATCTTCTGTGAACACTTGAAGAAATGGCGGAGGTTGGTTAGGCCGCAAACAAAGGAAGGAGTTCGTAAAGAAAGCCTTCGGGGGCCAATTAAGCTAGAAAGCGGAAGGAAGTACGGCCACCTCGGTAGAAAGGTGAGCGGCTGGAGAGAAAGAAACAGAGCGAGGGGCTCGAATATGCTGCGTTAATTTGTTCGGTATCTTAAGAACAAGTTCAGGCGGCCGCGTTAAGCCGAAGAAGGTCAACAAAAAGCATACAGAAGAGGAAACCAAGACACAGAAGTAGGCGAGGTGAGCACACAAAATCGGGAGCTGCCCGCCACAAAGCAGTTAGGCAACAGGCTTAACGTTTTGATCAATATTTCTGAATTTCAGCGAATCGCAAAAAGACCTATCTGCGTTATGTTGTGGCTCTGCATCCCACCGCCACTTCCTCAACTGTCTGCTTGCCTAGACAGAAATAAGTAAATTTGCACACTAAAAATATGTCAACATAATAAACCTGACCTGCAGAACATCCAGAATTAACGTAATCCTAAACAACTGCCGCTTGCTCACGAAAGTGCTCTGGAGGTGACGATGGGACTGACCACAGTCACTCGCCGCATGCAGCGTCATGAAAACGTTTCCATAACATCTTCGACGAAACATTCCAGTTCGGTTCATCCTAGGATGCATTATTAACTCGAAGCGCTTATATTCGCTGAACTTGGCACATTGAGCCTGCTACCAACTGACAGCAGTGACGAGCCCCCCGTTCGCTCCTTATGTGATGCATATTACATTCTTCCAAATATCCCATCAGCCTACTCATTATCTTTTGTATCGTCTTTTATAGGGCAGGGGTCGCCGAAGGTGAATTTTCATGTTCGCTGAGCCGCCCAACTTGCTGCGTTGTTGGCTACTCTGTTTTTGAAGAGGGAGCATAAGGCTTTTCGATATCTGCAAAGTTTCGAATGGATTAAACTCGCATCGTCTTTACAATCATTATAACTCTGTTTCTTCAATTTCTTTGGTCCAGCAGCTGTGCACGGTGCCCTCACATTCGACCTCTGCGGAATACATCAACAGTGCGCTGCTCAACTCCTGCTTTATTCTCCCACCGGTTTTCCTCAGTTATGTTCCACTAGGCTTCACTGTTGCTCTTTCTTTACTCAGAATTGAGTATCCCTGCTACGTGTGTATTCAGTAAACTGAGTTGTCGTGAAACTGATGGGTAGCAACGAAACAATGTGAGAATGTTCCGCAACGCGTCCCTCTTCGGAAAATATTTGCGCGGCTTGGGTAAAACTGCTCAAAAGGGTTTCAAAAAGAAGCAAATTTTGGCTCCCATTCCAGTCAAGGCCTATGGGCGCCCCCCCTCAGCAGCGTCTCAGTGTGGTTTATACCATGACGAGGACTACAACTACTACACCAAAATTTCCTTCTCCCTGCGGAAACACAGGCGAAAACTCAAGCCAAATGTATTTAAAAAAGACTTTGAGTCAGAAGGGTTGAATACGACGGTCAAAAGCCTCAAAGTGACTACCTCAGCGCTGCACGCCATAGATGACGCCGGGGGTCTTGATGAGTACCTTCTGCGGACTCCGCCTGAGGAGATGAGGAGCGTTTTAGGCGAAAAAATGAAGAATGTAATTCATTTTTATAACCAACACCCAGAAATTAGGGAGTGGGCGTTGCCCTGGAAGTCTTTCGCCAGCGCCGCAGCCAGGAAAGACCCTTGTCAAGCGTTGTATAGGCACCTGAAGGGAAAAGAGCTGTACGAAAAGCGCCTAAGAGAAGCGCAAAAGCAGTCTTCTCCCTACTATTTGCCAAGTTTGCGAAACATGCACCCTGTTAGGCAGCCATTTGCAGAGGGCACTGAGCCGCCACAGCTCCCACACCTCGGCTGGGCTCTAAACCACATAGAGGCGGCAGCGCTGCGGCGAAGATTGGGCATGGCTGTGTGCCAGCTCAGGGCTCAGGCTTCTCACGAGGAAGCTGATGGCTTTAGGACGGGAAACAACAGGGGAGGGGGTGGGCAGAGCGGATCGTCCCTCAGAAAAAGGTCGAAAACGCACAAGTGGAGAGAGATCAGAGCCTACTGATGCGCAAAGGCAACGTAGAGGAATTGCACCGACTCCTCAGTTTGTCATCAATTTGAAGCTGAGGAGAGAAAGAGTGGAAACAGACAGGGGCCGCCCCCCTTTGTGCAAACTAATTTCCCTACTATTTGCTTGTACGTCGGATCTTGTCCGTGACAGATGCAATAACAGGCGAGGGGAGTTCAAGCTCGGCAAAAAAGACTAGCATTGCTCTTTAGAGCCGCATTAGTCAGCTGCAAGTGGCGAAGTTATCCTGCGATTGCCGAATGAGTCAGCAAATAATGCAGGGACACTCAGTAATGCCACGGCCTAGGCAGTACTCCAATTTTATGGAGGCGAGGCACAGCGATTATCAAAACCCTTTATTCTTCCGAACCAACTATTTTGCCTAAAGGACAAAGCCAACTGCTCGGAACTGTAGGGCCTTCTGTATGAGAGAGGCATGATGCGCACCTACCACTTGCTGCAGCCATCTTTCTGTTGCACCAGAGCACCAAGAACATATATCTCCATCTTTGGTGCCACAAACTCAAATTCTGTTATTCTTGTGTTTTCGTTTGAAGAGAATAGTTTCACCCTGGAACACCGCCAGGTGCGCGTAGGCTAGAGGTTAGAACTGAATGGCTTTCAGACTGCAAGCGCTGGACATAAGACTGTAAGAAGCCTAGAGGTCTACACTTTATAGATATTTGATTGCAGTCACATATAGATTACCCTTAAAGCCTAACTGGGTCCGGTTGTGTATTAATTTTTTCTGTGTTTCCCACTAAGGCTTGGTGCATGGAGCGCCGTGCTGCTACGTTCATCCTGATATCGATGGCTTGAAGTTCGTTTCCCATTGTGCGCTGACCCTGCATGCAGCCAAGTGGTCCGCTAAAATGGAGAAAGACGCTACGCTATTTTCACATTTGAACATAAGCACTGGGCAGCCGCACTGCAGTGGGCATTTTGCACACCACAGGAGGAATAGTCCCAGCCAGCGAGCAATTACGCCGCCACGAAGTTTAGAAAACATCAGAAACACACACTTTACGATCCAACCGTGGCTTTTGCCACTGATTGAAGCTGCTCTTGGCACAGCAGCAGCATTTGTCTCAGCACTATGGAGCGAAAACAATCATCATACGTTACTAGCTGATGTAAAAATCAGACACGTGCAAACGCGCACGTAGGAACACTTGGCACTGATGTACAAATGCAAGGCATCCCGTTCACTTATGCATCGCGAAAGCCAGGCACTTCCATGAGGCGAACAACGTAGTCAGCGCACCATATTTTCATTGCTTGCCCCGTGCAGTTCCAAAGAATACATCATATCATGCAAACCCTCCCTAAATTTCCCACCGTTTATTGTTGACCCGCTTCACTTCTTAGAAGCGCCACTTCCCAGAACCACTCAAGGAGCTCCGTAACCTCACTAGGGTCACTGGGCTGCTTGCTGTTCTCATAGGCTCTGCATTCTTTGGCAACGTGAGGCGGCACAATTTTGGACCCCCTGGCGGAAGGCATAATACCCGCAATCTTTCCCGGCCACTGCACTTTCCACCAGTGGTGTCCATTTGCCTTGTAGTCAATGATGAACGTTTTGATATTTTTGGCATGTTCCTTCGTTATGTGAAGGATCTCCATGGAACAAGATTCTCTGTTGCTCAGCTGCTGCAGGTCTTTTATTGCATCGTTTCCAACCCGCATCTGGTGAGGCGTGAGATTAAGCGATTGCACTGCCTCCTCGAGTCTGTTTCTCTGCGCCATCAAGACCTCTTTTAACACTTCCCTCACCTTGATTTCCTCTTCGGCCTTTTCGACGCAGATGTTGGCATCGACCTCAGCCACATCCATGTGGCGCATGAGGCGGTCAAACACTGTGCAGGGATTGCGGAGGAAGCCCACGTAGTTGTTGGTGACCTCGTCGGCCGCCTCCTTCTCCTCAGGACTCAGTCTTTTCATGATGCTCTCCGGCCTGGTGAACCAGCAAAAGTCGTCGGTGTACTTGCCAGCCCGCGCCACGCCGTCCTCAGCCTGGGCCAGATCCAGCGTCACTCGGAGCTTGGTGGCGTTGAAGCTGCTGTCTGCGGGCTCCAGGAGTTTCGCCTCTGAAATTTGTTTCGATATCTCGAAAGCCCGAGGCTCCATGGTGCCGCCGCGCGAGATGTTGGGCTCACGCGCGAACAGACTCCACAGCGCGCACAGCTCGGGAGCGCGGTCGTTGACCCACTTCAGGTTGTCGCTGAACTCCAGCAAAAACTCGGCACAGTCCTCTGGCACTGGCTCCGCAGGGCCTGCCGGAGCAGCAGGAGGCGCAGCCGGGGGGGCCTCCGCGGGAACAGCAGCAGCTGCGTCTTCTTCCTTTTCGGGCTGCGAAGGTGGGTAGAGGGCTCGGTAAGCCTCGGGCGTTAGGGCCTCCACGAATTCGTCAGACTCCGGGGGACTGGAGGGGGGCGTCTCTGTCTGCGGCTCTGCCTCTCTTTCCTCCTTTTCAAGTTCCTTCGCAGGAGGCGACTCTGCAGCAGGCTCCACGGGCGGCTGCGCTTCTGGCGCAGAAGGCTCGCCCGCTGCTTCCCCTGCTGCAGTTGCTGCGCCTGCTGCGGCGGGAAGTGCGGCAGCAGCAGCCACGCCGAGCCCCGCTAACCCTGCGGGAGCAGTCAAGGATGGCTGCGGGGCTTCTGGCTCTGCCTTTGGGCCCCGCTGTCTCCTCCGAAGTACTGGCAATCGTCTGAAGATGGCTCTCGCCGCTCGGCGCGCCCCCGCCTTCAGCCTTGCGGCGCCCCTCCGGATGCCTCGCCAGAGCCTCCTCATTTTTTCTGCAGCTCTCCTGCGCACGTTTTGGAAGACCCGCCGCAGCCTCGAGCGCCTTCTGCCGTGCGGCTGCTGGCGGGCTTGCGGGGTGGAGCTGCCGCTGCCAGCTCCGCCCCAGATGTCTGGGCCTTGGGCCCCCTGTAGCTCTTCCAGGGACCTCTCTTCATTATCCTGGACGTTTGAGAATGAAGGAAAACCCTTTTGGGCTTCTGCAAAAGAAAATTCGGGCCCCTTGTTGGCGGCCGCTGGCTGGGGTCGTCCCAGCGGTGCGTCGACGGAGGGCACGGAGAGGACAGCGGCTCCATAAGGCTTCCGCGGCCTCGCACTGGAGGCGAACAGAGCCTTAGAGAAAGTGAAAATACATAACAACAGGCATGAAGTTCTGCAGAGATACGCAGTCCTCCACCGCATTGTCCTGGACAGATTCCACCGATGCTGCGCCGACGATCCCTATGAAACGCGAGAAAATCTTGCACTACCGGGCAAAAAGATTTCAAAACAATTTATTTATGCTATGCAAATCCTTTACTGTACATATTTCTATGTTTGAAGTTTCTTCCACGAAGGTGACTTTGCAGAGGCCGCCGATGTTCAGTGAGTGGATCGGACACGCCAGCCCATGGAAGGCAATACGTCGAATGCCTGGCACTTACACCGGCTACGTGAATTCAATGCAAAACTAAAAATAAAATATACCAAAAATATGATTTAAACGATGCAATGAGCGCAGAGTCATCAGCAAGCACAGCCGGCAAGCAGTTGCGCCTGAAGCTGTCGGCGCCCTCCCGGAGTCGACAGGGTGTCAGCTGTGGTGGACACGGCTAACAAAGCAGCACCCGTGCACATAAACAAGCTGCACCTATCAGAATGAAAGAACGCTCACATATGTCAGCATTAGTGAAAGGAAGAGGCTCAAAAGTTCTATTGTTCTCCGCTCATTTTTCGCTGTTTAGTTTACAGGTATGCGCCTTCACTCAGCAGCAACGGCGCGATTTGTGAATATGCAAATTCAGCGCTTCTACATTCAGAAGACAACTCCACCAAAAGCTGTCACCATAAAGCCATGCTAAATTTCTAGAGGGATACTAGGAGGGTGGGCCTGCAGTGTCCAACCATCCTGATCTGATTTCCGTCTACAGCTGCTGCTTGGCTATGTGCAGGCGCTGTTCGACTTCTGCGACCCTTTCGCCCCAATGTTTTCCGTAAAGCGACCCATTTTGAGGATCCTTATTTTTACCAAAGTTGTTAATCCAGAATAATCAGGTGGAATTATTGTGTGCCCCGTTGAAACTGCCGGAAAGCGGAGTACGACGTGCCGCCATGCTCCAATAATACTTGCTGATCTCAAGAGCAAGAAAACGCGCGCCAAGTTGTAGAGCTACCAATCGGTGTTGTGTAAATACAAGTGTGGAGTGAGAATACACGTAGAAGACAAGAAATTGAAAGAGGTGAAACACGTGGCAAGCTTGCATCCGCAGCTGGAGTGAAGTATGGAAGATATTAGCAAACTATGGAGCAGAGTGCATGGGAGAGAGTTGTAGAACACCGGCGAAAATCGTGCCCGACCAAAATTGACATTTCCTGCTTGACGATTTAGTTTTCTAGGACGGGAGCCAGTTGGCCATTCAAGTATTCTGAATAAAGGGCCTGTATATTCTGAATAACAGAGAGCGGTGACGCAGAAACGCAACTTTGCCTTCTTCCGCTTCACTTTTTTCAATTCAACTATAGCACATGTCCGTTCCCTTGCTTGCAATATGCCTTTTGTGCCGTTTACTACGGTCTGTTCGTATCGTGACCAGTGGAGAGGAGTTGAAGGCCGCTCGTTCAAAGTCGCAGGCGCTGGTTTGTGTGTGTAGAACATTAGTAACAAAAGAGCGAGGGTAGTAGAGCCACCCTGGGGACGGATGAATGACCGAAGGAAAAGGAACAAAAAAAGAGCTTCCAGCTTGCTCAGATAGCTTGCTTGGTGGCTTAAAGATGAGTTGAGGCCGGCACTTCGAGAAGGTGAAGCAAAAATTGTGCAGAAGATGAAAAGGAGGCTCAGAACCAGGCGAGACGAATACATGGAAGGAGAAGTGACCTTTTTCAGAGCAGCCACGCTACAGGCTTAACGGTCTGATTGATTTCACTGAATTTCAACTTTGGATAAAGTACACAAAAAAGACCTGCTATAGCTGCTCGTGCCACAGCCACGTGCCCAGACAGAAATTAGGGAAGTAACGAACTACAAGTGTACTAACTTGGCCTGCAGTGCACCTCAAGCTTCCTTGTTTTTCATCAACTTCTGCTTGCGCCCACAGTCACTTGCCGCGTGCCACAATATATAAAGCTTTCCGTGACAAATATGGCGCAACAACCCAATTTGTTCCTTCTTGATATGCCTTGTTTACTTCACGCGACCTTCAACGCTAAATCTGGTATACCAATTCATAGCTGCAACAGGTCCCCGGAGACGACGGCAGCAGCTATGTCACCTCTCCACTTTTTCCCAAAGGAACGACAGCTGGAGATGAAATGGATACATGCGAATGCGCTTAAGACAACCAGCGGCCAACACGAGCGGCCTGTTCGCTAATTACTACCCTATATCTTTAGCCCGTTTCTTCTGACTTGCATGACATTTCTAGAGCGCTAAAGTCCCTTAGGAACAGTTCGGCAAAAATGGGGTAGCATTGCTCTTCAGAGCCGCACTAGTCATTCGCCAGTGGCGATGCTGGCTTTGGGTGTGTAGTAAACAAATAGTGGACGAACACTCCAAACTACCACACACTGGACAGCCCTCCAATTTTAGAGATGAGGCGCTGCGATCGCCAAAACCTTTTGTTCTCCTGGACAATATATTTTGCGTCAAAGACGACATCCACTGCTCAGAATTGCACAGCCATCTCTATGAAACAGACAAGATGCACACCCGCAATTTGCTGCGGGCGCCGGCCTGTGGCTGCAGAGCATCGAAGATTCGCCTTCTCCAGCTTCGCAAGAACAGCAGCAGCAAGTGCGTGCCTCATCTTCCCGGTAGGGCGATGAGCACGACTGAGGCAATAAGGAGCAGAACGACGCAGCAGCAAAGACACTGCAGGCATCGGTCGCTGGCTGCGTTCTTTGCGATGGCCTGCGCCGTCTTTTTTGTTCGACCGATGTTGAATTCAACGTCTTCCAGTTTGTCCTTTACGTTGTCGAGCTGGTCGTTCTGCTGCTGCATCCGCTGCAGTATCGCTCCCCCCATGTCTTCCGTCTCAGCCACTTGCAGCTGCGTGCGCGCTAGGCTCAGCTGACGAACACACGGCCACAACAACAGCGCAAGCAGCAACATGGGAGGGAGCTCGCACTGTTGAAGGACAAAAATACTGCAGTCGAGTCAAACAACTTCGAAATATTTCGTGTTTCCGGTGCCGGCTGACCTGAGTCTTGTCCTGCACTTCATCTCCTAGCATGATGAGCTGCTGCCGCTGCTGCTGCGGGCTGAGGTCTTGATCCTGTGTCGGCTCGTGTGTCTTCCCATATCTCTCCAGCAGCTGATCTTTGCTCACCGTCAGAAGCTGCTCTTCACATTCGGCGCTCAGCGCCATGAACTCTTGCCGCAGCTGTTGCTGCCGACGCACCAGCCGCGAAATGACCTCGGGGCTCAAGACTGAAGAGGAGCAGCGCAGCTCTAAAGAGAGCGAACGGCTGCAGACGGCCGCCTGGTGCATCCCCACCCACAGTAGCGCACAAAGACAGAGGAATTAAGTGACAACCATGAGTCTCCCTATAAAACGGAAGAAGTGCCAAAAAGGTTCCATAGAAAGCGACAACACACTGCCAGACTGGAGGGGAAACAGTTCAGATCTGTGCTCCATCAGGGGGCGTTAGCGGTACCTCCTGTTTGACTCTGTTGATTTGAAACACTTTCATTTGCCTTTCTTGGCTGTTCGCCAAAGGGGCAGCTGCCAGCTCACTGAGAGCCCCACGCAGGTCGTCTATAGCCTGCTGAAAACGCTGCAGCTGCTCCTCCACTTCATTGCCACCAACTGCATCCGTTTGGTAGTCCATTCTCATGTAAGTGTACTGCAGCAGGCTGGAACGGCTGTACGTTCAAAATATTCAAATCGACAAGAGAAAGGGTCGCTCTAGCTTCCGGGTCTGATGCCCGCAATGAATGCAGCCACACATGTTGTCAAACGCTCATGATGCTATTGTTTTGTTGTTACTGCTGTTCTTGTGACGGTGGCGCTCGCATGCGGTTCACTTTTTCAAACAAATTCAGCTCTCTGCCGGCTCTGGGAACGGCAGGCACCAAAGTGCATGCCGTTCAAACTTGCGAGGGGATGCAGCGACACGTAGGCTTTCGGAGAGATAAGTAAGCTAGGGAAACAGGCTTCATTGAGTAAATGGTGGGAAACGGAAGATCAAGGTGCCGTTAGTGGCTGACGCCTCTCCCACTCACAAAGACCTGCTTTGGCCTGTATCCAAACCTTCCGCCCTGCGTCTCTTTTGTGCGGATAATAGAGGAACAAAGAAGAACCCGGAGATCCCATATGCATTCTTGACAGCCTTCACGTAGGGCAAAGAGGTCTTGTGAGGCTGCTTTGTGTGCGAAGTCGAGAGGAGTCCGCAGACACGGACCGCATCACCAGGGATGATGGGTGGGAACAAACGATTAAAGAGACTCGAAGAAACCCAAGAGAGGCCACTGCAGATGCCTCTCAGGAAATCGTGCTTACAGCGGCTTGATGCTGCAGATTTTACAGAGAACACATGGATCTGATCAGGCGTGAAGGCACCATGTGCAAATCCGTCTGGTACTGTCCCCTATCTATTTCCGCGGTTGATTGACCGTATGGACCCAAATAGCCCCCCAATGCCTGTGCAATCAAGCATGTAATGAGAAGAAAAACTATATAAACAGCAACTTTGGCCTACGTGGCTCCCACTCGAGAGCTGCCAGAGGATACGGATCCTCGTGGGGCCTCGGACGACAAGCTGTGGCGTGCATAGCGAGGCTTTGAGGCGCTTGCATGCGTCAATTTTGTCTCGTTCGCAAATTGTTTTACCTTTTATACGGTTGTCTAAGGGAAAATTAGACAGCTGAGGCAGCTGCTGCGCGTCCACCTAGTCTACACCCACTCATCGTGCCATTTGCCAAAACATACACGTGAAACCGCAGTAAATGCACTGTATGACAGTTAGTTCATTCTAGTTTGAGGAATTTGGTCCGTCTCTAGAGATGTCAGGTATTCGGGATTCCAAGGATATCACATTGCCTCTGGACCGAGTGGCTCGGCTGAAGGCAGCAACCGGACCACGTGCACGCTGGAAAGTGCAGGCGACAAGCGCGGATAAAACACGCAGCAGCAGTAACATAAGCACAGACCGAGATACTGTGCAACTCTGCAAGACACGAACCCTTCTCAGTGTCAGTACTCTGTGTTGCAGCCCGGAACTGACTACAGTGTCTGGCTGGCGAACAGTCCGTCTACCACCACGTAACTTTGCTACAGTGCTCTTAAGCTGTGTGCTGATACGACATTGAACTGCGCTATTAGCGTCAACCCGCACACGCTACACTGCTAAATTAGCACCGTCGGCAGCGAGTTGTCAGCAAATAGTCGACCAACGCCTTTGCGAAGGCATCGGCGTCACAGACAGAGTAAGAGCTAGGAGACAGACGTTGCCATCTCACTTCAAATCTGCATTGGAAGTAACCATTCAATCATTGGCAGCTAGCCACGATAGCGAGCTGCTGCTTGCGTGCTGCGGCGACTGCAGTGGGGCGTATGGACCAGCACTCATGCTCACATTTGCACGAGCCACCAAATGGCCGTTTCACCAGGCGAGCTCATGTTTTCAGTTACGCTAAACCCAAGGACTACAGCCCGTCACTGACGAGCCTCCAAGCTCCTGGAAAACGGGACTACTTTTAGGGTGTAGCCAAGTTCATGGCCAGCGAGGAAGGGAACAACGTCCGTGCTAGTACCTTCAGCTCCACAGACGACATTCGGGATCTGAAGGGGAACACAAACACAGAGATGAAAAATATTGCATGCGAAAACGAAACAGCTGCTGGGCTGCATAGGCGTCGCTGCGTAACACATCTTGAACGCTTTGTTGCCAATGGCGACAGCAGTAAACATAACGATCGTACAAATCCCGAACATGCATAAACTCGGGAAGAAAATGAAATGGCTGGGCTTGCAGCTTAGAAGACGCACAGCTAGCTTTAACACCATCCCGTTAAGCGCGATATTGAAATTCAACAAAGTACCCTTGGCCCTCATTCACACCAGCTACGCCAACGGCATCCTTACCCTGCACGGTGTCTGCTCCAGCACAACGCAATCCTCGCCCTCCACCAGCTCTGCACAGACAGAAAACGGAGTCCTGAGCGCTAAAGTCGCACTTTAACTTGTAGGCCATTAAAGAAGAGAGATGTCTGGAAACCAATGTGATGGCATTAAGTCAAATCTAACCAGCTGAGATACTATGTTTTGGCTGCATGAACTCCTAAAGAGCTGGCAACTTGGCTGTGTTTCTGTTATTTTGTGCGACGGAGTTGCTGCTCACCCTTTTTAGGAAGCCCAAAGAAAGCTGCTGCGTTTTCGCAAGCAAAACTTTGCAATTTGTCTAGGCATCCCGCACGGGCAAAAGTGTCTGCGAGATACTGCACACAAGTAAGCCAGAGGAACACTAGCGTAAATCTGTCCGTACATGGAGTTCCACTTCACACTGGCTGCACAATTGATTAGCGCATGAGTGCAAAGACATCTGTGAGCTAGGCGGTTGCATCACATTCATTTGATGCGACTCGCTTGCGCCTAAACACCTAAATCGTGAACCTGAAAGTGCAAAGTTCATGCTAAACAGCCACATGAAATGGAGTAAAACCTACCGCAAGAAGGAAGGGTTGCGTGAATACACCAGCTGCTGGCGGATATGAATCTTTCTTGTGCCTGTGGACAGAACCGGAAAAGTAGCTGAACTGGGGTAGCAGGTGCCGCCGCAAGTACCGCCACTTCACTGAGTGGCGCAGAACAACAGCCTAAGCTAAAATCTGTGGCGTCAATTAGAGCGGATTCACTTGCCGAGGATGAGGCGCAGAATCCGAGCCTAGAAAGAACTGCGGATGACCCTCGCGCACGACCTGCAGTCATTCTCAAGTAATACTGCAGTAGTGACTAAGCGAATGCACCATGATCTGAACTATAAAGGAACACTGCATCGATACATAAGTAACACTTAAATAGACGGAGACAACTTCTACATGGGTTCCTGTTCTTCTTGAGAATATGCTTACCTGCAGGAGCGCCTCTCGGTCCTCCGCGCTCTTTGCAATGGGTTTGCAAAAGTTGTGGGAGTGAGCTACGCGAGGCTGGATAGATGATTTATCGGAACAGTCCATCTGGCGCTGAACATCCTCTGTTGTCCACACATCCTCAGTGGTCAGCTTCACGCACAGCAAACAGAAACGCGTGACACAAAGGCTTTTAAGCTCAAGATCTGGGATTTCTCGTGGCAAAACAATCTGGTGGCCGCCCTGCTTGAGCTCAGTGGCCCGGCTGTGGCCTCTTGACTTGGTCTGGGAAGGGATCAGAAGCTGCGGCTGAACGCGACGCTCACCCGCAGGTGGTGAGCAGTTATAGATGCGGCTACATTAGGTTTGCCCTTAATCGCTTTTACTGCTGCAGCCGTTGAAATGTGCTCGAAAACGATCTTCAGTTTGGGGAAGCGCGAATGGAGCTGAAGTATACAGAAGCAGCGGCACATGCAGAACACTAAAGTCGTATGATAGCCCCCAAGATCCACGTCCAAAGCAAAGAGAGTACCACAGCTAAAAGTGCGCATTGTGGAAACTTCACTCGTCTTAGTCATTTCTCCCAGATGCATCTGGTGCAGCTGTGAGTTGCTCACGTCTTCAAATATAGGTAAGAACATTTCTTCCGCGCGGAGTGTCGGCGCGTCTGGCTTTTCAGCGTGGATGTGCAAACTCATGCCGAGTTCTTCCATCACTTTAAAGACACCCTCATATTGGGTAAGGTCCTACCAGAATGCACGCCGCCGCAGCCACTTGATCCCAGGTGAACAGTTCAGACTTAGCACTCCACCGCTGCCTCCTAATGAAACAGTACGCTAGTTGGACTGAGAGACAAGGCGCCGCGTTCACTGCACAGAATTATTCCCTACCTCCACGCCGGCCTCGGAGTTTGTTGTCACACCACGCGGGTATAGTTTAACCTGCGAAGAGCAACGAACAAAAAGCATGGCAGCTGAACAAGTGGATGCAGCATGCAGTATCCGTTGTCATTTGAATGGACCCGCTTCTAATGTATTAGCATTCAGAAGAAAAGCAATTCTACAGCACTGCACATCTCCTGGTGGATAATTACATCCCGCCAATGGAGAACCCACTCCAACAACATGCGATTCCTTCGCGCGCTTGGCGATATCGTCGGCGTCGATCTCGCGGCAGAGGTACAAGGTCATCAAGTAATTCACATTGGGGTCCTGGCAAAGCAACACTAGAGGCTTATTTTCGCATTCTGGACAAAATAGAATGGCAGACACTTTCGTGAAGGTGCAAAAGCTACGCTTTTGTTGAGGCTTACACCTCTTTTGTGTCCCGGGAAATGTTACCCAGGTCTGTACACATTCTAGGCTAGGGGGTATTCGTATAGGAGGAAAGACGTTAATGGATGAAGCAGAGCACAAAGTAGCAAACCAACGAGCTGCAAGGTGGTGCTCACCCTTTTCAGAAGTTCATTTCTGTATTCGAGCGCTTGTGAGCATGTCACAATCGGCGGCACAGTGTTGGGCATCACCAGGACCCGGTCGCTGGACGGCGCATAGACACAAGCAGAAAGATTCGCAGTGACCAAGAAAGCTTACTTTCCTGACTTAACATGAAATTCAACTGCAGTGCGATACGGTAGTTCAAACATCACGAAGGAGCAGGCTCGCGGTCTGTGCTTTGCAGAGGACATGCGCGGCTGCTCACCACCCTCCCTTGCGTATTTGAAGCGTGACCATATCCATCAGTTCCACTTGCCGGAGATGGGTGTGCATGTCATCCGCCATAGGCATCACAAGACGCCCTCCATTAAGGCCCATCATGACCATGGTGGCGAGCCATTAGTTACAGCTGCACAGCACCAAGGCAACCTGCTCCCTTTCAGTGCAAAAAAAGCTAAAATTACCACGAAGGGAATTAATGACATATGCGCGAGGGAAGTCAGACAGAAGGCTCTCCAATATTGGTTGTGGGGCTGTGGCTGGGAACAGCTCTCATAACGGCCACCCAGCGCCGATGGGGCTGCACCATTTGGTGCAGCATCTCTTGTAAATTATTTCGCTTGTGTTGTCTTTTAGACCCTTAGTGGTTGTATCATTGCGTGAGCGTAATCGCTTGCGACTGGTGCAGGCTTCATGGACTGATCATGTCTCCTGCTGCATGCCGTCGGACGGGGGGCTCAATTTTCGACATTTTGAAGTCATTAACGGCCTTGCTTTCGTCATTTCAAACAAGTATATGATTTTTTTTGCGCTATTCTTGTTTGCTGGCGCCTGAGGTCACCCACTGTGGCAACACTGCAGGGTGTTGGTACCTCAGATCCCCTCACTCTGGGTAATGCTCTGTGTTGGAGGTGAGGAAATCAGCAGGCTACTGCGGCTCCCATTGACGCTCCCATTGTGCCAGTGTGCAATGCGAAGCCGCCCCCTCTACAAGTGATACGGTCCGGCAAGCTTCTTCAAAGCATACTAAAGACTTGGCCGGCCCACGTCGCTACTTGCTTTCGATCGCTCACTTGCTGTGCAAGGAGCAACGAACCTGAAAGAAAATCCATTAGTTCCATTTGTTGCCGCAGCAGCTGCGATCCATGCAGAGTGCTGCGTTTGAATGAGAAGGCCGTCAACGTACACTAGGTTCACTGAAGAATTGTCTCACCATGGGGTATGATCGCGTTTCAGAGTCACGGAGAAGCCCATCAGGCGGTAGATCAAAAGACTACGTGGGACGCCGCAGCGGTCGAGCAGACTACAGAAGCCCAGACCGACGCTACCGAGGCGCGGACTCCTATCGGCGACCCTATCGAAATCGCAGCCCGGAATATGAAAAGTACCGACGCAGAAGTCCATCGCCAGCGCGTTACGGCAGAGACTCGCGGGCCTACAGAAGTGGCCGCACTGCACCTTACCGGCGCAGCGGAAGCCGCTCCATAAGACGTCCTCGTAGCAGAAGTGTAGACTCCACGGCTAGGAATGAGAAGTACCGGCGGAACGATGCACCAGCAGCTCGCTTTGGAAGCAGGGCTTCATACCTGCGGTCGAAAGAGGTTAATCGAGCTCCATCGCGGAGCCCTTCTCGCGGCGGTCGGTGTAGGAGTCCCGCGCGAGGGGATCAGTCGGGGCGCCGAGATGCGCGATACCGGTCGCACTCCAGGGATTGGTACCGCGAAAGGCACGAAGGACGGAGAAGAAGCTACGTTTCCTCAGAACGAGAACCTTTGAAGGGAGGTGCATCAAGCCGATATGACGTTTCATCCAACAGAGGAAGTGCACGCCGACCACGTGACACAGATCGGTGCGCCGCAAGAGATCGCTCGAGAGATCGAAGCGGGTCACACCACGGCAATGCCCGTCGACAGTCACCTAGGATGCCACAAGGACACAAAAGGGCTTCATCTAGTGAACACGCACGATCACATGGGAGGAACTCGAAGTGGTCTCGCAGTAGAAGCAGGTCAGGCAGTTGGGCCCGAAAGAACAGTGCGGCGACTGCTAGCGGGCGATCGCCAGTTGACCCAAGCAGGTCTTGTCGAAGATCAGAAAGCCACCGGACAGGAACAAAGGCAGCAGACGCAAGTCAGCGCCCTGAAGGCCCTCCTCAGGGAACTCCCCGACGCTCCCCAGTCGTCTCCAGGCAAGAAGAGGAGCAAAATCTGACTCGTCAATCAACTGAGCATGTTCACAAAGATGATGCGCGATCTGCTGGCGACTACAGAAGGGTTGGGGGCTCTTCGAGGAGCTCGTTACAGTCACAGTGCCGATCTCCTCTGCCATCGCACAGCACATCAAGGGCGCAAACTGTGGCAGAGGCGAGCAAGCACTCAAGACGGTCTGAAGTGCATTCCACCAGTGGATCTCCTTGCCGATCTGCTGACTGCCCGACCCCTGATCTTGTCTCTTCGAAGCCGCATAACACTGAAGGCAAGGGAGGGGATTCGGCTAGGCATTCTGTATCTCGCCAGGAAAAGCTGGCCTCTAAACAACACGGTTCTCCAAAGCATGTAGAAGACGCCGTGACAGAAGAAATATCTACTGCAAAAGAGCTGCAAGAAACGCCAAAGCACATAAATGAGGCCTGTCCGGGATCGAGGCAAGCTGTATCCGTTTCACGCTCACCGTCAGCCCGCTCCAGGGTTCCTGACGTCGAGCGAGACGAGCGCAATGAGCGCCGGTCCAGCCCTCCAAGGACACCTCCAGCATCCGAGCTTCCCGTTGCAGAAAAGTGTAGGCAGTCTTCTGAGGCAAATGCGCTGACTACAAACCATGACGTAACTGCCCAGAAGCGCGATCCGCAGGCAGAAGAGCAGATTCACGGACAGAGTGATTTGCCGGTTAAGGGGGAAGACGATGCGTCAACAACGGACCTTCAACGCAGTCGTCCTTCCCCACTACAGAGGCGTGATGAGAGGCCAAGGAACGAAGGACACTCGCACGTGGAAGCTAGGCGCCCTACCGGCGCGATTTGCGATAGGAACGTCGCATCGGATGATGTATTTTTTCGGAGGAAAGATGAATCGGGAGATGTCCATGCAAGGCCTGCTTCAGGAGATAATCTGCGCAGTACTAAACTAAACAGGAGAGCTCTGAAGCGCAGAATCGTGACTGCCGAACCAGCAGCATTTCCCGGCGTTGCAGAGATGCATGGATCATACCAAGAACTGTCCCCACGAAGATACTGGAGAAATCCGCGGTTTCCTCCGGATAGGGATGATCGCTTTTTCCCCAGTATGAACAGAGTTCAGCCTTTTGGCTATAATAGATGGAACCGGCTAGATGGAGAAGAGCACTATGACTTTCCGCAACCTCCGTTTCCTGGTCAGACGGGCCGATCTGTTAGGCTAGTAGCTCGACGGAACGATAGAAACTTATTAATATCTCCGCAGCAGCGGGTCAGATATACCACGCCTGCCGATTTCCAGCGCATGCAACTTCACAATGGCATTTTTCAGCGTTCAATTCAACCAGATCAACGTCATTTACACAGGACGCCGGTTCCTATTCAGCCAGCTGCATGGCGAAACCGGAAAACGGTAAGACCGCCTTCTTATTTTAGCTGCGAACTAGATATCTTGTTTCTAATGCATCTGGAAGACTGCCTTTTTGTGCTGCAACAGGCCGGGATTCTAGGACGAACACCACAGGAAAGAAGACACGCAGCAGGTAGGTCATAAAACTAATGAATGTCCAGAGGATACGCTAAAGTTTTCGCAACAGCACGCATTGCTCACTGTGCAACTGCGTGCAGCCGCAAGCAGTGCAGACGGGAAGTGGAGCCATGATCTTTTCGAACAGTTGTCGAACGAACCGGAGAAGAAACGACGCAGGTTCAACCTCTATGTAGGTTAATTTTCTCTAGCTTCTTCCCATAACCATTGTGCATTTGTTGCAATTCTCTTTTCAAACTGCAGTAGCTGTCTACATGGTTCGTTGTACTCAGGGCGAAACACTCGAAAGGGTAGATGATTGAATTGGCATGTCGGGAATGTGCTTATGATGGCACATATCGCATCGACACAAGTGCAAAATGTTCGGGAAACATTCAAAAGAAGGCCAGTGCGATTGCAGCAGCGCTGGCTGCAACAAGGCACGACGCCGACGCCGATGATGCAGATGATGGAAATCCCTTGATGAGCGGTCCGGAACCTGTTTTTGCAAAATTAGTGGAGATGTGGTGCCATACAAAGGTTCGACATTACACTCACCTTCGTGGTTTGCCCTAAAGCGTTATTTTCGTTACGCCGTGGATTCATTTCTTGCTTGGCCAAAGATATTCATGATATGCTTACCGCATGAAGCCAACCATCTGCGAGTTTGAGCATTGATAGGAGTTTATTTCTATTTCATGTTTGGGTTTTGCCATACCATGTGATCGCGGTCAAATATACTGTAGTATTTCCGGATGAAGGAATTTCCGAGCACGAACAAGGGCCCACGGGGCGCTGGTACGTCCTGGAGAGACAAACTATAGTAACATTCTAAAGCCGTAGTAGCATAATGCTGGCTTACCATTGCCATGAAGCCGGCCGCGCAGTTGTTGGCGTTGCCTCTCTGTGTGACGTTCTATGCCGAATGAATGAAGCATGCAAGGATTACGAACGCTTACGGCATCCAGCTCCTCCACTACGTAGTCCCTTGGTTCCAGGCTGAAGTTGACGAGCCTTCCGTATATATCTTTCAAAACAAATGTGAGCTGCAGACAAAAATTTATATCTTGGAAAAAGCGAGCGACGTAGTTGTGAACCTACTGTGGGTAGGGTTCCAAGATTCGAGCAGTTCTCAGCAACGTTGAGGGCTTTGATGAGGGGATTGATGACGGATGATGGTCCAGTTATCTGCACGACAGTAAATGCAAATTGCTTGATGAGCATACTTTGCAATCTCGTACCAAACTGGATCCTGTGTCAACGGCTGCGCGACAGCCGCGCTTCTCACAGACGCCAAAGGATTTTCCATTGATCTTTAGCCCATGGAGACCAATCTCCCTGTAAGCGTATCAGTGCTTAAGTTGCTTCCATGAGCAACAATGAGAACAAGGACAAACCAGTAGTCTGATTAAAAAACAGTATGAAAGCCGAGTAGTTGAGTAGTGGTGAGCGAATGGCGTACCGAGAGAGATGACGGGGAACCATTTAGGTGTGTGCCCAGCGAAGGTATACTTAGGGTCCGCTGCTCCAAACTAAGGAGGATTTGCAAGCGAGCGTTGCGGAAAGTGGTTCGAGCTCTTTACCGAAATCTCTCCAGGCCTACGAATTTATATCATGGCTACCCATACGGCAGTTTTAAGTCATTATTCATGCTCATACCGATTGATGTCTTCGCTCATGTAGACGGAA